TTGTCATCGGACCACCCCCCATCACCACCACCACCACCCACACACACCCACCCCGGGGAAACATGGGTGGGTGGGAGGTGAGACTGTGAGAGGTGTAGTTTGAGGACAAGATTAGGCATGATTACATGTGGGCTACCTATTGTCGAATGGACGACTGATGTTTTTGCACAAGAAGCCATGTTAGTGTTCTATGTTTGAAGTTATTCATCATTCTACTTTAAATATTCCATGTTTGAAACTTTTACTAAATGTGTTATTCTAGAAGTGGCTTTGGCCTGTTTTGCTTGCCCCTATGTTGGGGCTTTTTCTTTCATTAGTTTCTAAAAAAGTCTATTTATGCCCATGTTTCCCCTGGGGTGGAGGAGTGCGTGTTTCCGATGACAAGTGTATTAGGCACTGTTTCAAAGCTAATTTTACTGAGTGCAATAGTCCAAGTAAGCAATAACTCACCATGTGCAATAGTCCAAACAAGCTATTAACTCACATATACAAACAAAATGTTTAATAATTACAATAATATTTAATTACTGTTATGGGATCAGTTATCCAGTAGCATTTTAATATAATGAGGGATATGCTTTGATACCATTTTCTTCGGTAACAAAAATAATTGCTATTTCTTGGCAGCTTGAGTGCAATCAGAGAAAGCAGTATCTAACACAACTCACATTATGTTTGAAGAGGTGCACATGTATGTTTACATTTAACAATACTATAAGTTTTGTATACCCTAATAAGGGTTAAGTCAATGTGGAATATACAATAAAATAATCAAACTCAGAACATCAAAATGTATAGAATATTTGACAGTATTTTTCAAATTGGATAGGTAAGCATTCCACAAAACATTGTTGATCAACAATCCATTGTCATTGCCTTTTACCCAGATAGTCAAAGTGTACATTTGTAGTTCTTTTAACATGGAAAGTCTATCATTCAACTAAAAAGAGAATAATTTGATTATTTATTGGGTGTATTTTACAGAAATACAATTGGATGAAACACAGCTGCACACACAGAGACAACCAGTTTGAGGTTGTACTTATTATAAGGAGGGACCGTCAATGGTCAATTGTGTTTGGTCTCAAAGATATATTTCAGGTCTAAATGCGTTTACTATCTTTGTGTATAACGAAACATTTTGGTACTAGCATATAAACAAAATAATATTTCTGTATATTTGAATATTGTTTGTATTAGTATATTGTTTGTTCCCTGTACAGTATATAAAAACTCTGGTTGTACGCATCCCAAACATATTTTTAGCGTTAGTTAGCAATAGTCCTATATGCATCCGTTGTCTAAGGTACGAAATTTCACAAAACACTATCGAAAAATGATCAAGAAATGAAAAGAATCTCACCTGACTTGTTGACAGTATAAGATCTCACTCCTTCGGAGGTCGTTTATCCAAATTTTCGTTCGTTTTAAACATATTCGTGTAATAATTTTCCCTTTAACAGACGCAGCTTGACATGTTCTGTCAAATTTTGTCCTCAAAATAAAGATCGGACGGTAGATGTTTTTTAAATTGCTGTTTTATTGTGAAAATTCGGCATTTCGCCATACAATTCAATACAAAAATTTGGTTCGGCGCTTACCAGACGAAACGCGTGGAAACCGCGTGGGCTTTCGAAACGGGGGACACCGAGAACAAATGAATTTTCCGCGAGTCGGCCATCTTTATATACTTAATCTTTGTCCAAGACAAGAGAAATTAATTTTGCACATTAAAGAGAGCACGCCACGTACTATCTAGTGGCTTTCCCTCCTGATCTATAGTATTGTGCTTCCCGATTTCAATTGACTCTCTCATTTCTATACTGCCAATCGTAAGTAAGGTTTTTGAAAGAGAGGTTTTTAGACAAATTTATAGCTTTGTTTCTGATAATTTCTTACTCTCCAAGTTTCAATCGGGATTTCGACCTAAACACTCCACACTGTCCTCTTTGATACAAATGTGTGACGATCTACTTGAGAATATGGACAATGGCAAAATAAATTGTGTCGTGTTCCTTGATGTACGGATGGCCTTTGATTGTATAAACCATGAAATACTATTAAAAAAGATGCTTAACTACTTTGGTATATCAGGAATTCCACTAAATTGGTTCAAGTCTTATCTATCTGATAGAGAGCAGCAATGTCTGGTAAACGGTTATTTATCGAGCCCGAGAAAGATAAAATGTGGTGTACCGCAGGGATCTATCTTGGGCCCTTTATTATTCCTATTATACATAAACGATATGCCTGACTCCTTAAAATATTCAACTCCATCCCTCTACGCAGATGACACAGAAATTTATCTATCCTCTAAAGATTGTGATGACACTGTTATTAAAATAAACCTTGATCTTGAAAATATTCGAAAATGGATGCTACAAAATAAGCTCCAAATTCATCCGACAAAATCGAAATATATGTTTATTGGATCAGCGTATAATATTAAACATAAGGTATCTGGTAACCCAATTCTTGTTAATAACGTTCCAATACCCAGGACTGAAAATTACACTTGCCTTGGCGTCAACATTGACGAAAAATTGACCTGGGAAAAACATATTGATATGATATGTTCAAAAGTCAGTGCGGGAATCGGTGCTATAAGAAGTATTAGGCCCTTCGTATCGTCTGCGACACTAAAATTGATGTACAATGCTATTGTGCAGCCCTACTTTGATTACTGCAGCCCTCTCTGGGACAACTGTGGAATAGGCCTCAAGGACAGGTTGCAGAAATTTCAAAATCGGGCTGCAAGAGTAATTTCTAGCGCGACTTACAATGTTCGGTCGGTTGATTTACTTGAAAGCCTGGGTTGGAAACACCTAGAACTAAGGCGAACTTATCAAAAATCTGTTTTTATGTATAAAATTCTGAATAACCACACGGCACCAAATCTAAGAACATCCTTTCGATTGAATAATGAATGTGATAATACCTATGATCTTAGAAATAGAGAAACCGATTTGTCTCTTCCTAAACCGAATACCGATTCCGGTAAAAGATGCTTCAAATATAATGGAGCGGTAGTATGGAATAATTTACCGTATGAGGTAAAAGTAGCGGAATCTTTAAGTTCTTTTCAAAGAACTATTAATCAGGCAAACACTTAAAATTGGCTCGTCTTGTTGCCTACTGTATATGTAATTCTTCTTTCTTTGTTTTTGTATTCTTAATGTATATTTCTCCAAATCACGCCCCTCATGGAAATCAGCTCCTAGTTGTTGAGGCCAGCGTGCCTAAATAAATTTTTGTATGTATGTATGTATGTATGTATGTATGTATGTATGTATGTATGTATGTATGTATGTATGTATGTATGTATGTATGTATGTATGTATGTATGTATGTATGTATGTATTTTGCGAGAGAACTTATGACTATCAATCGCCAAAATGGTTGCTTCATAAGCAATTGATAGTCATAAGTTCTCTCGCAAAATGAGGGAGTCAATTGAAATCGGGAAGCACAATACTATAGATCAGGAGGGAAAGCCACTAGATAGTACGTGGCGTGCTCTCTTTAATGTGCAAAATTAATTTCTCTTGTCTTGGATGCGCGCGCGTTAATTGGAATCACTTCACTACGTTTGAAATGACGTGGTTGATGTGCCGTTTAATTAAATTTCAAATGACGCGAGCCAACAGATCACGACACTCTTGTATATAAAAGAGCGTGTGAATTAAACAAGTCACATATTATTAGCACAGAATAGAAAATAGACCAGAAGCCTCACTCAGCCAAAATTGTGTCCGAGATTTTTTATGCGCAAGCGCGAGCCAGCAAGTGTAATCACGACGCCATCAAACGCGAGCAACGCCATCAATTGCCATCACTAGGTAATAAAAATTGCTGTTTTAACCGTTTTTAAATGCCACAGGTCCAAATAATGGGTCATCGCAACAGGAAGACACAACGTAAAAAACAAAAGCGTAAAATATTTGCACAATAATTGCAGAATATGCAGCGTACACTTTGAGCATGTTTTTCGAATTTCAAGAAAAACCGTTGATTTGAGGAATTGACGCTGACGAACGCTGACGTGATGTTCGCAGCAAGTGTCACACACGTCATTTAGCGTGCGCAATTCGTGATCCGCAAGGCGAAAATCGCGGACACGAAAATGTTAAGGAAAGGTGTACAGTGAGGCTTCTGGTCTATTATATATTCTATGTTATTAGCACTGATGAAGATCCGGGCTTACGGATCGAAAGCTTTGCAGTAATAAAATTTACGTGGTGTTTCCACAAACAAAAACAATTATATTCTAATATTAATTCCACCAAGTGAAGTGCAAGAAACAAATCATTGAAGTCCACCTTATCACAACCCGCACACCCGATTACCTATATATACATGAACTTACAGTTACAGCTCAACAGCTGGCCTCTGTAGCTCAGTTGGTTAGAGCGCTGCAAAGGAATCGCGGGGCCGTAGGTTCAATTCCTACCAGAGGACCTTGTGCTGCATTTTTCGCAGTCGTTCCTGGTCAGGTCTTAAAACGTATATATACTCACTTGGATTACAAACCCAAACATTCTTTTCACATAAGTCCGAAGCATGATCAGTTCGATTTTTGCATATTTGGACATTGATTTATTTAATAGAAGTATAGATATTACATATTACATTACATTGCATTGCATTACATTACATTGCATTGCATTGCATTACATATAAAATTTCAATTATTAGGTACGGTGGTGTCACATTTGGTCACAAGATAGATGTTCCCAACGGAATTCTTTACAATAAAGATATACAAGTCCGAAGACTTGTTACGCCCGAAGGGATTAAGGTTTGTAATTAATGCATTTTGTATTGGATATTTTGTAAACAGGTTTCCTCTATCATCAAGAGCACGGTTAGCGTCGTGTTAAACTGTGGCACTTAAAATTAGAACATCTGTCATTGTGCCTTATCCAAATATCTCGTTTTGTGGTAGCGTTCTGACCACGGCGGTCCTATAGATCCTTGGCATAAAAGTCATAATGATGCCTAATAAAAAACTACTGTGGTTCTGGTTTCCCGCTCGAACTTTTTTCCTGCCTCCTATAATGTTTTTTTCGAGCTGGTTGCTGCTTATGCCTACCGACCCTAATTGTTTATGTGTTGGTAGCAAGGGTGGGTTGTAGCGAAGTAGTTGTAGTTCGCTACTGTAGCGAACTATAATTTTCAAGTAGCCAGTAGTTTTTGACTACTTTTTTAAAACAGTAGTTGTAGCCAAGTAGTTGACTACTTTTCAAACAGCGAATCGCTATTCGCTACTTTTTAAAATTGTTAGCAACTTGATAGAATAGCATGATATTGAGACACGGTTTGCTTAAAATCAATACTCAATAGTCAATTTGCACTCCTGAACACTGTAGTCGGCTTACAAAAATGTTGCTTTGTGTTTACTCGGCTTACAAAAATGTTGCTACTCCTAAGTCGATTTGTTATAGATTACATTACAGCCCTGAGTTAGTACTTAGTAGATGTTCCAAATACAGTAAAACTAAAAAATATAGTGTAGCGAAATAGCGAAATAGTTCGCTACATTTTTTAAGCAGTAGCTGTAGTCAGTAGCGAACTACCTTTCTTCAAAAGTAGCAGTAGTTGTAGCTGACTACATATTTTTGAAGTAGCTGTAGTTCTAGCGAACTACAAAAATTTTGTAGTCAACCCACCCTTGGTTGGTAGTGCCATCTGGTCACAGTCGTGGCCATTGATCAATGACATGATTCCGACCTACGTATCCTATATAGTTTTATCAGTATATGAAAACGGATGCACAGGGGATCAATGAGCGACTGATGATTACTTGTGGCACTAAAAAACTGGTCCATGTACTGTATATCAATGTTGTTTCTGACTGTCTCAATTAGGCATTGGTATAACAAACCATCCTTGGCTTCCATTGCATGTTGGGCCAAATACGGACGCCCACAGTTATTTTTCATTACATTTGTATTAATAAATGTTATAATTATAGGCTTGGTACACGAACAAAGGCTATCATGCGATGCCAACTTTTCTTAGTGTTGCAACAAATACGTTCTTACGTGAGCGAGTTGCCTCAAAAGGCAAAAACCCAAGACAGTATGGTATGTTCTCTGAATGCATGTAGAAATCATTGTCCTTTTTTTAATATTTAACAATTATTCACGGAAGTGGAGGTGAACATTGCAAGGATTTTATTTCACTTTTTACCGACACTGGGGTGAATAATTGTTTCACCATAACAAAACAAGAATGCAAAAAAAAACACGAAAATATTTGTAAAAGATTTTGTATTACAATTAATACCTGTAGTAACTCCTGTATTAATACCTGTAGTAACTCCTCTATGTAAACAACAGTATTCGCAAGCTTTTAGTAATTTTGTCGTTAGAAATAGTTTTAAAGAATACCTCTACACACTGTTAAACAAAACTTTGTGCTTTTCTTTGTGTTTGAACCGCAGCTTCGTTTAGTATAGAAAAAATTGCTCGTCTGTAACCAGAACAAAACGGGAAGCCATTTTGTTTTGTTCCGGAAGTGAATATGCCAATAATATTTAATCACTCACGTATTATAAACCATTGGAAGACACACATCTTTTTTTCTCGCTTTCAGGAATAACCACGTATAATCATCCCATGAACCTTACGAAGGGCGAACTCTCTCAATCAACATTGTAAGTCTTTCCAAGTTTTACGACCACACATCAATAGGAACCACAGTTTAACTTTGGAAACTATCTTGTTGGATCTTAGTGGTTTTATGTGTGACCCTCCAATGCCAAACCAGAAATACAGTAAACAAGCAATGATTCAACTCACCTACGTTGTCGTTGTGTGTTTGATTAACACAGTGCAACTCACCTACGTTGTCGTTGTGTGCTTGATTAACACAGTATAACTCACCTACGTTGTCGTTGTGTGCTTGATTAACACAGTGCAACTCACCTACGTTGTCGTTGTGTGCTTGATTAACACAGTGCAACTCACCTACGTTGTCGTTGTGTGTTTGATTAACACAGTGCAACTCACCTACGTTGTCGTTGTGTGTTTGATTAACACAATACAACTCACCTACGTTGTCGTTGTGTGTTTGATTAACACAGTACAACTCAAGTTGTACGCAGCGACAGTTTTAGGCAAAAGTTGTGTAGTGTTAATCGGCCTTTAGAGTGCTATATCATTATTGATGTTTCTTCCTCTAATCGTCTTTCTGTCTTATTTTAGACAAAGTATGGCAAGAACTGACTTAGTTATGGCAATTTTTGTGATTTTCGCGCTTGCCTTTGTTCCTGCAAGTTTTGTTGTTTATCTCATCAATGAACGCGTGTCGAAATCCAAACATTTACACATGGTCTGTGGAGTCAATCCTCTTATCTACTGGGTATCCAACTTCTTCTGGGATATGGTGAGTTCACCAGTTCCGTATATTTTTTAGGGCGGGGCAGGTGTTAAGGTGGCTCAATGACAAAATCGTGATTTAGATTTAATTTTTTGAAGAGAGGTTTCTTGTTAGAAGACAAAAATTGTACCACATATATTGAGCAATCTTCTAAGAGTTGAAAATTGTTCACAAAAATGACGTCATTACCGTTGCTATGGTAACAATGACGTTTCAATATGGCCGACATTTTACCTTTTAACACATTTTAATCGAAAAAAAGGCCGGTTACCCCCATTTTTTATTTCGTGAAACGTTTCATTTAGAAAAAATGAATGATATGAACAAGTTTAAAAAAATTCTGTAGATTAGAATTTTTAAAAAATTAAGAAACGTGATTTTTCGTGATAAATATTTTTTGGATCTACAGAATTTTTTTAAAATTGTTCACATCATTTATTTTTCTGAATGAAAACGTTTCACGAAATAAAAAATGGGGGTAACCGGCCTTTTTTTCGAGTAAGATGTGTTAAAAGGTAAAATGTCGGCCACATGAGACGTCATTGTTACCATAGCAACGGTTATGACGTCATTTTTGTGAACAATTTTCAACTCTTAGAAGATTGCTCAATATATGTGGTACAATTTTTGTGTTCTAAGTAGAAACCTCTCTTCAAAAAATAAAATCTAAATCACAATTTTGTCATATTTCAAAAACTGTGATCGTATAAGGATGAAAGTTTAATATAGCGATTAAAAAGCAAACTTATTGAATTTTATCGTGCCAAGTTGCTGATTATCAACTCATCCTTATTGCTTCATTTAAAAAGTATACTGTATCTCTGTTGTTGGACAACCAAAATTGAATGTTGTATACTGTTATTTGTTTAGTGTAACTATTGCATCCCAGCATTTTGTTGTATCTGCATTTTCCTCGCTTTCCAAGAGAAGGCGTACACATCAGTGGATAACTTTGGACCAACTCTCTTGTTATTGCTGTTGTATGGGTAAGTGCTATCTAGTAGGTTTCACTAAGCAGTTTTGTGCAGTAGACAGTGATAAACAGGCAGTCCAGTGATAAACAGGCAGTCCAGTGATAAACAGGCAGTCCAGTGATAAACAGGCAGTCCAGTGATAAACAGGCAGTCCAGTGATAAACAGGCAGTCCAGTGATAAACAGGCAGTCCAGTGATAAACAGGCAGTCCTGCAGTGATAAACAGGCAGTCCTGCAGTGATAAACAGGCAGTCCAGTGATAAACAGGCAGTCCAGTGATAAACAGGCAGTCCAGTGATAAACAGGCAGTCCAGTGATAAACAGGCAGTCCAGTGATAAACAGGCAGTCCAGTGATAAACAGGCAGTCCTGCAGTGATAAACAGGCAGTCCTGCAGTGATAAACAGGCAGTCCAGTGATAAACAGGCAGTCCAGTGATAAACAGGCAGTCCAGTGATAAACAGGCAGTCAGCTGCAGCTGATGAACATTGAGTCAGTTCTCTCAAACATTTCTTACAAATCCTTCAAAACTTAGAATTTATCTACGCATTAAACCTGCGCTGTAAACCAGCCTTTTTAAAGGGAAATGGCAATATATTTTTTTATTTTCTCATTTGAAAGAACTTTTCAGTAAGACTATATATAATACTCTTTTACCGTTTTTTCATATCTTGCTTACTTCTACAAGTATTTTGATTGAAAGGAATGAAATGTTCGCCATCTTCAATTTTTGTAGATATGCATGTCACGTCACAACAGGGGTCACGCAATATTTTTATCTAGACAAACCATAATCATTTTGCACTCAAAACTGTACTCTGTCTGCCCCTCGAAATATCAAGATCTCTCAAAACCTTTAGAACATCTACCAATCTATATTTGGTCAGCAACGAATACTTTAATATGGTTAATCCCTCTTGTGACGTCACCAAAACTACCGTTAATGAGATCAAAAATGTATCCAAGATGGCGGACATCTCATTACTTCAAGTGAAAATATTTCAAGAATTAAGCAAGATATGAAAAATCGGTAAAAGAAGTTTTTTCAAATGAGATAATAAAAATTTATATTGCTATTCCCCTTTAAATCTGTATTTATAATATATTAATCTCGTAAATATTTGTGTTAAAGTATTGTAAATATGTTTTTTTGCAAGTTGTAAATGAGCTCCCTAGATGAGCCTTTTTACGCTCCTGAAGCAAGCTTTATTTATTTATTCAATTCAAATTATATAGAGCGGTTCAGATTTGACTTCCGCTACCTCTCTCTCTTATGTTGATAATAGGGAAACAAAATGGAATTCCAATTCTGGGTTACCAAACCGTATCCTAACTGCATCTTTTTTCTTTACAGATGGTCGATAACTCCTCTCATGTATCCAGCATCTTTCGTCTTCCAAATTTCAAGCACAGCTTACATTGCTTTGATTTGTATCAATCTCTTTGTGGGGGTGAACACAACTATCGCCACCTTTGTTCTGGAGTTCTTTGACGATGATGCTGTAAGTACCACGTGTGACTGCACGTGTTCAGAATTTCACTGGGAATTTTGCTCCTTAGAAATCTCCTGGCACAAGGCCGAGGTCCCTGCCTCCTCCACGGGCCCTGCTGCACCATGGGAAGGTCGCACAGAATTTCTGCAGGGCCAGCGTAAAAAAATTAGTCATTATATTTTCAATTTATTATGCAGTAATAAAATTTAGTGATTAATTAGCGATTGTTTCATCCAATCACAATGCCGATTGTTGAGGAGCCGATACATACCAACCATCGGCCGATGATCGGCAAAACCGATGATCATTTTATCTGACGTTAAAGTTTTGTGAGTTCTCGTCTTTGTCTAAATACTCGCTTGTTTCGCAACGAAAGAATGACGATTACCACAACATTGACAACAAAACTGAAAATTGACATCCAGCGTTGACATTGAAAATTGCCAAGCAGCGTTTTCTGCGTTTGCTCTATTTTTACGTATGTCTGAAAAACTGAAATTTTTATTCTTTCTTGAAAAGATATGCAATGAAGAAAACTTAACATGCTTTTACTCTAACATGACCATGTGTAATGAGAAGCCATGAGACATCTGACATGACACATGAGACACCGCTGACTAATCCGATAGGGAAAGACAATCAGCCAATAACCGATTGTGGGAAAAAGAGGCTGTTAATCGGCTCTGCCGATGTTTTCCCGAAGATCGGCTCATCTCTATATAATATCTGATTGCTAAGTTGAACTTTTCCGAATTAACCCGTAGCAACCGTGAAACTTCGTGTTTTACAGACGTGTTTTACGAAGACGTGTTTTACGACCTTTTATAAATTAACTGTCTGCCTTCAGGGTAAACCAGTTTTTGTTCTCAAACTGATAAAACCTTAGCGTTGCTTAAAAACGTTTTATTCATGCTGACAAATTCCTAATTTGTTTACAAGATTCTGCATGCCCTCTAGGAATTGTGACCTTCACATGAAGCATGTATAGGCCTGTGGAAGAGTCTGTCATTTGGCCGCACTGAGGACTGTAAAGTGGAGCAAAATGGGGGTATTCCATAAACTTTTAAAGATGATTTCCATGTTCACACAGGCTTGTTCAAATGAATAAGATAGGAGAACTTGTGATTAGATCAGTTTTTCACCTGCTCAGACGTTTTCCTCAACTACACTGTGCACAGCCGTACGTTCTGCCACAATTTACCATTTCATATAGCCGCCATTATTGTGGAGCCATCATCTTAAGTACCGCTTCCTTACTGCAATCGATTACTTCTTTACTGCGATCGATTTTTATAATGTACGTATATAGCATAACATGCAATTTCTCCGTTACAGGAGCTCCAACTTATCAATTCTTACCTGAAGAAAATCTTCTTAATTTTCCCAAACTATTGCCTGGGCCGAGGACTTATTGATCTAGCCAAAAACCAACTATTTGCCGACGTGTACAAGAGATTTGGTAAGACATCTATTTAAATCAGAACAGCACAGGAGTAAAAATCGCTGTATTTTAATTGAGGTTGTTAGTGTGGAAATTGTGCCAGAAAGAATTAGACTAAGGATTGTAAGTTTTGTCAGGTGACGAAAGTCGATAATTTAATATGCATAGTCCCGAGTTCATGGAATTATTGACAACATAACCGTACAAGGGGCGGTCGTATGAAGGCAGGATAGTGCCATCCAACGGATTGTGTGATAAACTTTAGTATTTATAAATTATTGATGTTTATTTTTATTTTTATTACTTCTGTGGCCTATGTCCGTAGTTTTATAGCGTTTCGATCATTTTTATAACAGTTGAAAAAACCACCATTAAAAAAACGTTATCCGCCCTACATACACAACCGGCCTGAGCCCATTAAACAGCTTAAACGTATTTAATGGTATTTCAAGCTGTACATTTAGGCACAATAACAAACTGTATAGACACTCTTGCTCCAATGGCCTCGTTTCCATGTGGTTATTCCATCATGTTTCGTACGCAGTAGGTTTAAGAATGGGCTCAAGACCAAAGAGCTTTGGGTCAGTGATTGAATTTACTTGATATTTTTGTTGACTTATAGGCAGCGATATCTTTCAAGATCCATTGAGTTGGGAAATCACAGGCAGAAATATCCTTTCCATGTTTGTGATGGGTTTTGTCTATTTTGCTTTAACCTTGTTGATTGAGTACAAGTTTTTCATCAGAAGAAGGCAAGTTATTTTATCATTTACGTTTTTATTCACACAGCGCCATGTTACCACATGGAATGTATGTAGGCACTCGTGTCTGCAACCTATAAATGATGACTTGTTGCAAGAGTTAGTTATACAATAAAGAATCCACGAGTCCTAAACAGGTAGTTAAAAGTTCAGTGCCATCCCTCATTCACAACTTACAATGTATTTTGCTGCCAAAAATTAGGGAATTCTTGTAACAAAAAAATATCCAGGGAAATCACACTGGTACACCATGGGAAAATCACCCAAAGGGAAAATCACCCAAAAATAGCCAAGTGTTTCTAAAGTTAGCAATATGTCTTTCACCTCTGCGATGGGGATCCTGAAAAAGCTAGTTTCGTCTGTGTTGAACTTAAGATAAAAACGTTGGATATTTCGCCCCAGGTGTATGAACACCGCGATCAATCGTCAGGGTATCGACTGGTTGTATTGTCTTCACAAAACTCCAGCAAAAAGTGTAAAGAAAATTACGAGAGTGTAAACTCAGTATAACTTTCCTGAGCTGATACCTTCAGCCGTTTCCTTTATAGCAAATGCTTTTTTTCCTGTATTTACTCTTATTATTTTGGCAGACATTTCCCCGCCATTTTCGCAGACTCGCGCATTGACGTGACGTTTGACCGCGGTATTACGCCCTAAAAATACTGTACTCTGGTTTCCTGATAAACCTAGAAATAATCCTAGATGGGTTAACTTAATACTCCAGGTTAAATTTCGTGGTTATTTTAACCTTGTTCCTGCTATAGTCTGGTTAATTTGACCAGGACGTCCTGGTTAAATTAACCAGACTGTGCTTGTTATTTATCCACCTAACATTGTCTGGTTATATTGAACCAGGACGTCCCGGTCAAATACAACCATATTCCTGGTTAAATTAACCAGACTATGTTATAGGAAGTGAGATAACATAACCAGGAAATTTAACCGGATATATTAGGTTAACCGAAGGGTTGTTTTCAGGTTAATCAGGAACATTTTAACCAGAATGTTTTCAGAGTGTATAGGTATACTACTGGTTGTATAATTAAGCATGTTGATGTTTGTAGGAAAGTAATTGGTGAGGTAACCACTACTGAAGGTGGTGATGAAGATGTTGATAACGAAAGAAAGCGTGTCGTCAATGGCGATGCAGATTCAGAATGTCTTCGTCTTGTCAATTTAACTAAGGTTAGAAATATCAAATATGGTAAAATACTGTAAATAATCGAAATGCCTAATTGTACTCAATCCAGTTTTATTTCGAGATCAGTGCGGTCCCAATTAAACATACAGATTATTCATAGATATTTTACCAGCAAACAATTTCGCGTAATATAAAGTCAAGTTATTTAAACAAGACAGCAAAATCCGAGATGTACAGCAAACGCTCGTGCAAACGCTCTATACAGAGAGAATTCTTGCTAAATATAGTTTATATTATAGTAGTTTTAAACTGAATTTATTGCAATTTTTAAAAAAATTTAATATTATCTCTGTAATATCACGTTTTTTTAATTTTTATGAATTTACAATGTGGTATTATTAATATAAAAATCAATCAAGCAATCAATAAATAATTTTTAGTTTAATGAGGAATTTTTGTTAATACGTTTTGCACTGTAGTTAGCTATATATAGGACGACTCATTTGAAAATCATTCAAAAATTCATTTTTTTCCTAGGTCTACCAATCCAAATTTAGTCGCACTAAAAATTTGGCAGTGAAACAGCTTTGCCTTGGTGTTCCACGTGGACAGGTAGGATATTGTGAGATCATATATATGAAAAATGTTTTTCAATTCCAAGTGTGATTCAAAAAACGAGAGAGAAGCCTGGAAACTAGGAAAGACAATGTGATGTTGGCAATGTAAACTTGCAATTTGGACAAAACCACTTACAAGTTTTTCAAAGAATACAAAGTGTCAGAGATGTAGAAACTCACCCGAACCCTCAATACTTCGCAAAGTGTCTCCCAATAAAAGCGACAAATATTTTCAATTTTAACATTTCCAAAGAACGCGTCTTCACTGAAAGCCAATTAGTGATAGTCACCCGTATAAATAACAAACTTTATTTATCTTTTACAATCTAAGAGTATAACACAACGTGTTTACAACGTACGTCCATCAAACAATATGGCGACTCTTGGGAATCCTGCTGGTCAACATTTCGCAGGCGCTCACACTCCCCTCCTAAACTCAAACATACATAACAGAAAATTTCGATGTTCCTAATATTAATAAGTGTTCAGTCCAACAGTTCATCGTTTATTTCCATTGCTTCGCTCTGTTCGTATTGTTGTTGATGCCAATCAACCTGAAGACGTTTAGTTGGTTGTCGTCCTCTAGTGCTGCGCCTTGGTGGTTGTGGTTCACCTTCCGAATCGCTACTTGACTCATAGTTGTCTGCCTGGTCATCTGACTCTTCAGTTTCCCACGACAGGACTTGTGGTGGGGCTGGCTCCAGCTCGTTAAAATGCTTTTGTTTCACACGTCCGGACGGGTTATTTTCCTCTTGCAGCTTGTAAGTGTTGCCGTGGCGCTCTAATACTATAAATCGTTTACTCTTTAAATCTGCCAGCTTCTTACCGCCTAGTTTGTTCCGTTCTGTAGCTGTGAGACGAGTTCGAACTCCTTCCCCAATCTCGAATGGCCGTTTCATTGCCGTTTTTGTTCTCTTCTTCCGTTTGTCCTGTTCCACAGAAATCTTGCGCTTCACCAGTTGAAAAACATCATCCAACTTCTTGGCATCAGATCGAGCCTGAGCTGCGACTCCACCCTGTTTCACGTCTTCCGGTCTCCATTCTTCATCTGAGCCGGCAGAATCTTCCGGTAAGAAGAATGCTTCCGGTCGTCTCGCTTGTTGTTTGAAAACCAGTTCGTGCGGTGATATCCCGGTGGTCCTGTTTGCTGAAGTGTTATGGGCAAACGTCACTGCGTGCATCGCCTTTGGCCAACTTGCGGGGTTCCTATTACATACCGCTCTAACGTTAGCAAAGAGCTGGTTTTGTCGCTCAACTTGTGCTTGTGACTGCGGATGCTCGGGACTTCCTAGCGCATGTTCGATGCCAAGTTCCTTGCACGTAGCTTCAAAGACGGTCGCGGTAAAGTGGGGTCCTTGGTCGCTACCAATCACTTCAGGGATGTCGAACTGAGTTATCCATTCATTTGGAGTATTGATTAGTGCCTCTCTCCGGGCATCACTGATGGACAACATTCCTTCACCGATAACGTGACCAAGGAATTCAATGCGACGAACACCAAACGTACACTTCTCTGGATTCAGGAGCATTCCCACCTCTTGTAATCTCTGGAGTACTAGCCGGAGACGCTGCATGTGCTCAGTCCATGT